ATTAAATTTCATTTTCATTTCTGTGTAAATTGTTTAGCAGTCAGTTGCGCTCGTTGTTTTTTTTTTGTTAATTGCTCCACTGTAGCGCTTTCATTTCTTCAATTAAAGCTAATTTAGAGTATTTTTTTTTCTTTTCTAAAATAAAGTATTAAAAGTATTAAAGTTAAAGTCATTATCATTTCATAAAGTATTAAAATCATTATCATTATCATTTTCATATTACTATTATCATTTCATAAAGTATTAAAGTCATTATCATTATCATTTTTATAAAGTATTAAAGTCATTATCATTTCCATAGAGTATTAAAGTCATTATCATTTTCGTAAAGTATTTAAAATCATTATCATTATCATTTCTTAAAGTATTTAAAGTCATTATCATTTCATTTTCATATTATCATTATCATTTCTTAAAGTATTTAAAGTCATTATCATTATCATTTTCATATTATCATTATCATTTCTTAAAGTATTTAAAGTCATTATCATTATCATTTTCATATTATCATTATCATTTCTTAAAGTAAAGTCATTATCATTATCATTTTCATATTATCATTATCATTTCTTAAAGTATTTAAAGTCATTATCATTATCATTTTCATATTATCATTATCATTTCATGTAGGGCAAAATTTATTTCTTAATTATTTGAATAGCTAAACTCTAATTTTTAGATTAAATTATTTAGATAATTGATAGCTAACATCGAATTATTTTCCTCTCATTGAAAAATTTTTAATATGAGAAATTGCAGGATAATCAGAATAGAAATTGAAATTTAGTGATAATTCCATTTTGGAATATTTCTGAATTTATGTGTTATTAAAAATTATTATTATTATTTATTATTATTTATTATTATATTATTATTATTTATTATTATAATATTATTATTTATTATTATATTATTATTATTATTATTTATTATTATTATATTATTATTATTATTATTTACAGTTTATTTATTATTAAAAAAAAATAAATAAATTCAAAATAATTAACTTTAATTATGGCACTAAATGAAATCAAATTATCACTAAATTTGAATTAAATTTGAAATTGAATTATCATCACTAAATATCAGCTGCTAAGAGTACGATATAGAATATTTTTGTTCAGTAATATGTTAAATTATACAAAAATTTTAAATATTAATTTATAATTTAAAATTATTTAATTTTAATTTTTTTTTTCTTAATATGAGAAATTTTTTTATTTTCTTATATTTCTGAATTTATGTGTTTTAAAAATTATTATTATTATTATTTACAGTTTATTTGTTATTAAAAAAATATAATTAATTTACAATTTTTGAAATATTCCATTTTGGTGCAAATGAAAATATTAAATTTTTAAAATTAAAAAATTTTAAAATGCAACATTTTATCATTTCCTAATCACTCAATCGTACTTTTAGAAAAAATATGGCAAATTTTTTTTTTTTTCTGTATTACTTATAAATTTAATGAATTAATTGTAAATTTTTACAAATATACAAAGTATCCATTTTTCATTTTATGCATTTTTGAATTATTCTTTTTTTTTTTTTGTTTTAAATTTTCTTTTTACTTTTAAATTACTTTTTTTTTCAATTTTTCAATCTTTTTTTTTTCAAAATTTTTTAAAAAATTTTAATGTTTATGGTTATTTCTTCAAATAATGAAAGATTTTTTGAATCACTTTTTTTTTTTTTTAATTTTTCAATGTATGAATAAAAATTTAACATATTTTTTAAATTTTTTAACTTATGAAAGTTTTTTTTTTCCAAAGTGATATAATCATCACAAAGAAATGTTTTTTTTTTTGTTTTAAATTTTCTTTTTAGTTTTGGATTAATTTTTTTTTAAAATTTTTTTTTTCAATTTTTTTAAAAAAATTTTAATATTTATGGTTATTTCTTCAAATAATGAAAGTTTTTTTTTTTTTTTTTCAAAGTGATATAATCATCACGAAGAAATGTTTTTGTTTTTTGTTTTAAATTTTCTTTTTACTTTTGGATTATTTTTTTTTTTTTCAAAGTGACATAATCGTCACAAATAGAAGTGAACCATTTGATCCATTAATTATCGTCTTTTTTTCTTTGCTTAGCATAGCAAAATGATTTACTTATCGCAGTATTTTTTTGACATATTAAGTGATGACAGGTATATCACGATGATATGACCCCATTTATGGGCTATTCAAATTGTTGTTGTTGTTACTGACCCTTACCATCTAGCGGCATATTGACCAGTTCTGTGATGGGAAAACTTGTTGGGTCATTTTAGTTATAGTCATTTACTGTTTACTGAACTGGTCATTTCTTAAATTAATTCTTTCCTTCTTTTTTTTTTAAAAAATTTTTTTTTTAGAAATAATTTTTTTGCAAAAAAAAAAAAAAAACAAACAAAAATTTGATTGGCTCATTATGAAAATTTTTTTGTCTAATCAAATTAACTCATCCTATTTAATTTCAATATTGTTTATTTTGATTGTTTATTACTTGCTTCTTTTTTTTTCTAATTAAATTAAATACACTTGTTTTTTTTTTCTAGTTAAGTGTAATTAAATTCAAACTCATTACTTATTTAATTCAAAACTTAACTTATCCTATCTAATTTCATTATTATTTGTTTTTTTCTTGTCTAATTAAATTCAAACTTATTTAATTCATACTTAACTTATCCTATCTTACTTTAACATTGTTTATTTTGATTGTTTATTACTTGTTTTTTTTTCTAATTAAATTAAATATTTGTTTTTTTCTAGTTAAGTCTAATTAAATTCAAACTCATTTAATTCATACTTAACTTATCCTATCTTACTTTAACATTGTTTATTTTGATTGTTTATTAGTTGTTTTTACCTGATTAAATTAAATACTTGTTTTTTTCTTATCTAATTAAATTCAAACTCATTTAATTCATACTTAACTTATCCTATCTTACTTTAACATTGTTTATTTTGATTGTTTATTACTTGCTTCTTTTTTTTCTAATTAAATTAAATACTTGTTTTTTTCTTGTCTAATTAAATTCAAATTCATTTAATTCATACTTAACTTATCCTATATAACTTTAACATTGTTTATTACTTTTTTTTTTTTAATTGAATACAAAAGCTAACATGAATTTAAATCAAATTTTGAATTTAGCATTTATCGAGGAAATGCAAATTTTTCTTTTTTTTTTTTGAAGTCTGATCGTTTTTATAGGATTGTATTGACACTTTTTTTTTTTTGACAACTTCAAAAATTTCAAAATATTTAGTTTTACTAAGTTCATACTAACTTTCCTTTTTTTTTATAACTTAATATTCATTTCAAAAGTATATATTTTTTTTTTTTAATTGATAATCTAATTTCAGTTTTAATTTTTTACAGGTTGCTGTTTCTTTTTTTTTTCTCAAACATTTCAAGTGGTTAAATTTTTGTACTAAAATGAAGCTACCACGACCTCAATGTGCTATTTGTTTTGCAACTGCTAATTACAGCGAACTTTCGGCCCTTTGTTGTGGTCATACATTTCATTTCTTTTGTATTTTGGAATGGATGAAAGTAAGTTCAAAGTTTTTTTTTTTTTTTTTTTTTTTGAAATTTATATTTAATTATATTTTTTCTAATTTCAATTAATCAAAATTTTATTCTCTACCTTTTATTATACTTTTACTTTCATTTTTTTTTTTTGCATTTTTTGATTTTAACATTTAATAATGATAATAATATTTTCCTAATTTTGTTTTTTTGTTTTTTTTAAAAAGTACTTTATTCATTTGATTAATTTGTGATTTAATTAATTAGTTAAATTTACTATTTTTTTTTTTTTTTTGTAGTAAATTATTTCCTGTAAAAATTCAATAAAATTTTGTTCAATTTTTTTTTTAAGAATCGAAGTCAATGCCCAATATGTCGAATACAGATAAGTGCAAAAAATATGGTTGGCTTATTATCATTTCGAATTATAAAGGATAATTCAAATTTTAGAGCTTATTATGAAATGGGATTGCTAAAAATGGTTTCATTTTCTATTTTTTTAATATATTTCATTATGCAAAATAGATTTATTTATAGTTTATCTTAAAACTATTTAAATATTTCAAAAGAAAAAAAAAGGTCAATCAGAGAGTTTTTAAAGAAATGTAATTTTAATTAATATTTAAATAATCCATTGAATTTATCAATTTTATTTTGTTTATATTTTTAAACTGAAATTTCTTTTTTTTTTTTTTTTTGTTACAATTATTATTATTTTAGATTATCAATTTTATTTTGTTTATATTTTTAAAACTGAAATTTCTTTCTTTCTTTTTTTTTTTTTTCACAATTATTATTATTTTAGATTCGTGATGCTATCAGATTTCGTCTTTATGAGCCAGAATTACACGGTCTATATATATTTCGAAGAATTAAATTGGTATTAAATTAATTTTAATTGTGTAAATAACAGGAAAATAGAAGTTATTAGACATTTAGCTAATCACAGATAAGTTGATAATTTTAGAAAAATTTTACACCTCAAAAAATATTTAAATAAATTATAGTCATATATATAATAACAAATAGTTTGATAATTGAATTGAATTTATTAGCATAAATTAGTAATTTTTTTTTTCTTTTTAATTGTAGAATATAAAAAAAATAGAAAAATTAAATGTGTAAACTTTAACATAGTATCCTGAAGCATATATATATATGTTTGTTTAAGAAAAGATAAAAAAATACAAATGCAAATTAAAATTTTATTTAAGTTAAAAGTAATTAATACATCTGATGAATTATGTTTAAAAAAAGAAAAAGAAAAATTTAAATATTTTAATAAATACACAAGTTTTTTTTGTTTTGTTCAAATTGAAATAATCATTCCTATCTTCCTTTTTTTTGGTTTTTTTTTTCTAATTTGGATTTATAATTAATTATTAATATGTAGCTTAATCTAAATTAATCGCAATTTTTTTTTTTTTAAATTTTATTTTTGATATAATTAATTTAATATAATTAAGGTTTGGCTTTTCGAAGAGATGAAAGAATTTGACTTAAAAATTGCAAACGAAGAAATGCAATGTGCAATTTGCTTAAAAATTCTTCAACTCAATGAAATTTCTGCATTACGTTGTGGTCATACATTTCATTATGAATGTATTTTACGAAAAATTCAAGTGAGTGATAAATTTGTAAATGTATTTTGTTAATTTAATAATCAAAATAGAAAAAGAAAAAAGAAAGAAAAAGTTAAACTTTAATTTAAACTAAGAAATTATTATAACATATAATAATAATCTGTGATAAATTTGTAAATGTATTTTTTTAATTTAATAATCAAAATAGAAAAAAAAAAAGAAAGAAAAACTTAAACTTTAATTTAAACTAAGAAATTATTATAACATATAATAATAATAATCTGTGATAAATTTGTAAATGTATTTTTTTAATTTAATAATCAAAATAGAAAAAAAAGAAAAAAGAAAAACTTAAACTTTAATTTAAACTAAGAAATTATTATAACATTTAATAATAATAATCTGTGATAATTTTTTTGCAGATTAAACATAAATGCCCGGTATGTGACGAAGTGGCAGGTGCAAGTAGTATTATTCAGCGTATATTTCTTGATATCCACGAGAAAAATGAGAAAAGTTCAAAAATGGAAGATACAAGTGAATTAGTAAATGAGGTAATTTCTTCTCCTTCAATAATAATTTATAATATTTCAAAAACAAAATGAAATTATTTGCTATCAAAAAATTTTGAATTTTATTTCAACTCTTTCAATAATAGTTTTATAATATTTCAAAAACAAAATGAAATTATTTGCTATCAAAAAATTTTGAATTTTTATTTCAATAATAAATGAGGTAATTTCTTCTTCCTCAATAATTATTAAAAATTTTGAATTTTTATTTCAATAATAAATGAGGTAAATTCTTCTTCTTCAATAATATTTTATAATATTTCAAAAACAAAATGAAATTATTTGCTATCAAAAAATTTTGAATTTTATTTCAATAATAAATGAGGTAATTTCTTCTTCCTCAATAATAGTTTTATAATATTTCAAAAACAAAATGAAATTATTTGCTAACAAAAAATTTTGAATTTTATTTCAATAATAAATGAGGTAATTTCTTCTTCCTCAATAATATTTTATAATATTTCAAAAACAAAATGAAATTATTTGCTATCAAAAAATTTTGAATTTTTGTTTCAATAATAATTTTCAACATAATTTAATGAATGATAGAACTTTTTTAATGAATGATGAATAACGTTAGCATAAAAATTGCACTTTACAAAAAAAAAAAAAAAATTATAAAAATTTGTTTAGTGTTTAAATTAATTTGTGTAAATTTTTGATTAAAACTTTAGCTTAATTGATAATTTTTATTAAAAAATAATTTTCAGATTAGAGGTAATCTGAGCAAAGTGGAAACAGAACTTGAACTTATTCATTTCCGTATGGAACACAGTTCGGCACTACTACGAGTACTGTCACATATGCTAAGCATTTGTGTCAAAGCTCTTCGAATGTGATAATTGTGATTTCAAAAAAAAAAAAAAAAAATAATTTAAGAAACAAAAATATAATTTAGGATTGTATATATGTGTTTATTTTTTAAAAAAAAAAAAAAAAAAAAAAAAAAGAATTTCTGTATGTATTGTATTTATTAGGTAACGTAAGCTTTATCAAGTAAAATGTATATTTACCTGTTTACTTACCTAACAATTCTCTTTATTTACTTATCTAATTTTTTTTTCTCCTACAATTACTAATGTTTTCAATGAAAAAAAAAAAAAAAAAAAAAGAAAAATAATTTAAGAAACTTACAAAAATATAATTTAGGATTTGTATATATGTGTTTATTTTTTAAAAAAGAATTTCTGTATGTATTTTATTTATTAGGTAACGTAAGCTTTATCAAGTAAAATGTATATTTACCTGTTTACTTACCTAACAATTTTCTTTATTTACTTATCTAATTTTTTTTCTCCTACAATTACTAATGTTTTCAAAAAAAAAAAAAAAAAAGAATTTCTGTATGTAATTGTATTTATTAGGTAACATAAGCTTTATCAAGTAAAATGTATGTTTACCTGTTTACTTACCTAACAATTCTCTTTATTTACTTATCTAATTTTTTTTCTCCTACAATTACTAATGTTTTCAATGAAAAGAAAAAAAAAACGAAGAGAAATAATTTAAGAAACTTACAAAAATATAATTTAGGATTGTATATATGTGTTTATTTTAAAAAAAAAAAAAAAAAATTTCTGTATGTATTGTATTTATTAGGTAACGTAAGTTTTACCAAGTAAAATGTATATTTACCTGTTTACTTACCTAACAATTCTCTTTATTTACTTATCTAATTTTTTTTCTCCTACAATTACCAATGTTTTCAATGAAAAAGAAAAATAATTTAAAAAACAAAAATATAATTTAGGATTGTATATATGTGTTTATTTTTTAAAAAAAAAAAAAAAAAAAAAAAAAAAAAAGAATTTTTGTATGTATTGTATTTATTAGGTAACGTAAGTAAAATGTTTTTTACCAAGTAAAATGTATATTTACCTGTTTACTTACCTAACAATTTTCTTTATTTACTTATCTAATTTTTTTTTCTCCTACAATTACTAATGTTTTCAAAAAAAAAAAAAAAAGAATTTCTGTATGTATTGTATTTATTAGGTAACATAAGCTTTATCAAGTAAAATGTATATTTACCTGTTTACTTACCTAACAATTTTCTTTATTTACTTATCTAATTTTTTTTTCTCCTACAATTACTAATGTTTTCAAAAAAAAAAAAAAAAAGAATTTCTGTATGTATTGTATTTATTAGGTAACATAAGCTTTATCAAGTAAAATGTATATTTACCTGTTTATTTACCTAACAATTCTCTTTATTTACTTATCTAATTTTTTTTTCTCCTACAATTACTAATGTTTTCAATGAAAAGAAAAAAAAGAAAACGAGAAAGAGAAATTATATTCATCCTAAAAAGAAATTATTATATTTATTATATAAATTATATTATCCTAAAATATATTCATCCTAAAAAGAAATTATTATATTTATTATAAATAAATTATCAAACAATTATAATTATATTCAAAAATGAGACTTTAAAATTTTAGTAGCAATTCAATCCCAATAAAGAAGTTTTAATTTTTTTTTTTTTTTTGTTTCTTTCAATATTACCATCAATTGAATGAATTTTGCTATTTATTTATATTGTTTTAGGATGATAATTTGCTTATTGTGTAATTAGTTAAAATAAATTTTTGGAAAAAAAAAAAATTTTTTTTCAAAGTTAGTTTTTTGGAATAAATCAAATTTCATAAAGGAAAAAATACTAGAAAAAAAAAAGATGAAATGAAAATATCTTCGCTTTATTAATTAAATGAAAGTGTCATCAAAAAATAAATTATAGTAGCAGACTGACGTATAACGTGTCCTATTATTAGCACTTTATGACGTATAACGTGTGCTATTATTAGCACTTTATGACGTATAACGTGTGCTATTATTAGCACTTTATGACGTATAACGTGTCCTGTTATTAGCACTTTATGACGTATAACGTGTGCTATTATTAGCACTTTATGACGTATAACGTGTCCTATTATTAGCACTTCATGACGTATAACGTGTGCTATTATTAGCACTTTATGACGTATAACGTGTCCTATTATTAGCACTTCATGACGTATAACGTGTGCTATTACTAGCACTTTATGACGTATAACGTGTCCTATTATTAGCACTTTATGACGTATAACGTGTGCTATTATTAGCACTTTATGACGTATAACGTGTGCTATTATTAGCACTTTATGACGTATAACGTGTGCTATTATTAGCACTTTATGACGTATAACGTGTCCTATTATTAGCACTTCATGACGTATAACGTGTGCTATTATTAGCACTTTATGACGTATAACGTGTGCTATTATTAGCACTTTATGACGTATAACGTGTGCTATTATTAGCACTTTATGACGTATAACGTGTGCTATTACTAGCACTTTATGACGTATAACGTGTCCTATTATTAGCACTTTATGACGTATAACGTGTCCTATTATTAGCACTTCATGACGTATAACGTGTCCTATTATTAGCACTTTATGACGTATAACGTATACTATTATTTAACACTTTAATGGCAACAACAGACGTGTGCTACGGGTCAATTGCCTAATTAACCGGAATGATCGCAGCGTTTAATTTCTTTTATTAAATTTTAATGAAATAGAAAATTTATTTTGTTTTGAATGAATACTAATTCATAATTTCACTATTGAACAGGCAATCATGAACTGTTTTTGAATCGATTAATAAAGGTATTATTTCCGGTTTTCATAGACAAATTCGGAACGGAATATCTTCAAACAGAGAAAACGGCAAAGAAAAAAGCATAAAATTAAAATGGATAATACTTTCCGAAAAAAAAAAAACAAACTATAAAATAAATTTACTTAAAGGACAATAGCAACAATTCCAAAAATTTTCAAAAGAAAAAAAAAAAGTGCAAATGAAAAAGTGAAATTATTTAGAAATTAAATTCAAGGACTATTTCAAAAAAAAAAAAAAAAAATCATTTAAAATCAAAAAAAAATGACAATAAAAGTCGAAAAATCCCATTAACAATCATTGAATTTGTAAAATCGGAAAATACGCCATTTTTCTCGGTATGACAAAAGAGCAACCATCAGGTTTTTTTTGACATACCATCAGGAAATTTCCGGATTTCATATCAATAAACCAGAAATTCTACTTATCAAAATAAATCTTAAGCAAATTTCAATATTATTTTAAAAAATATATGTGAAAACATTACCGTTACGACAAATTTTAGTATTTTCCGTTATGACAAAAGAGCAACCATCAGGTTTTTTTACAATCAGGAAATTTCCGGATTTCTCATCAATAAATCAGAAATTCTACTTATCAAAATAAATCTTAAGCAAATTTCAATATTATTTAAAATTATATATGAAAATATGACCTTTATGACAAATTTTAGTATTTTCCGTTATGACAAAAGAGCAACATACCATCAGGTAATTTCCGGATTTCATATCAATAAATCAGAAATTCTACTTATCAAAATAAGTCTCAAGCAAATTTCAATATTATTTTAAAAAATATATGTGAAAACATTACCGTTACGACAAATTTTAGTATTTTCCGTTATGACAAAAGAGCAACCATCAGGTTTTTTTACAATCAGGAAATTTCCGGATTTCTCATCAATAAATCAGAAATTCTACTTATCAAAATAAATCTTAAGCAAATTTCAATATTATTTAAAATTATATATGAAAATATGACCTTTATGACAAATTTTAGTATTTTCCGTTATGACAAAAGAGCAACATACCATCAGGTAATTTCCGGATTTCATATCAATAAATCAGAAATTCTACTTATCAAAATAAATCTTAAGCAATTTTCAATATTATTTTAAAAAATATATGTGAAAGCATTACCGTTACGACAAATTTTAGTATTTTCCGTTATAACAAAAGAGCAACATGCCATAGGTTTTTTTGACATACAATCAGGAAATTTCCGGATTTCTTATCAATAAATCAGAAATTCTACTTACCAAAATAAATTTTAAGCAAATTTCAATATTATTTAAAAAAATATTATATGGAAATATCACCGTTGTGACAAAAGAGCAACCAGGTTTTTTTTGACATACCATCAGGAAATTTCCGGATTTCTTATCAATAAACCAGAAATTCTACTTATGAAAATAAGTCTCAAACAAATTTCAATGCTATTTTAAAAAATATATATATGAAAATATGTGAAAAAACATTACAAAATATTAACAAAAATAAAATAAAATACAATTAACTTACTTTTTACTCACTAAAAATAAAAGTAAAAGTAACGATGGAAGAAAAGTATTACAACAAGAATTTTCAATAAAATTTTTAAAATGTTATTTATCACTTTTTTCTCTCTTTTTTTAAAGCAAAAGGAAAGATTGAAATTAAATTAAAATATATTCTTCTAGAAACATAACTATAATTTCATTCAAAGTAATAAATTTTGGTTAAAAAAAAAAACGAAAAGAAAATTATTATTTTTGTTTTTTTTTTAAAATTAATTTTTTTTCATAAAAAATTAAATAATAAAATTAAATGTGATCAAAAAAGCAAAGTATTTTTTGTTGTATTAAATTTCAAAAAAAAAAAAGAAATAAATAATATAAAAAATAAAACTTAGATAGGTCAGAGATCAATAATAATAAAATTTTTCAACTTTTTTTTTTTTCAAATTTCTACTTTTATTTCAAATATTAGCTCTTCTCATCGGTTGCTAATGCAATGAAAATTATTTTTTTTTTATTTTCTACTTTTTATTTTGTTTATTTGTTTGTTTATTTGTTTGTTTGTTTGTTTGTTTCCCTCTAAATTATAAGTTAAACAAATATTAGATAATTTAAAATAAATTTAATCAATTAAATTTCTAGCATATTTCAGGATAGATTTTATGAGTGCGAAATAT